TGTGATGAAAATGAGGATGATGGATTATCACCAGAAGTTCCCTGGAAGTGAAGATTTGACTTTGTTTGGTCTGTTGTCGGTGAAGCACAGAGAGGTGCCAGGCCTCAGGCTGCAGGTTAGAAACGCTTCATCCATGAGTGAGTGCGGATCCTCAGTTCAGAGTTCGGCCTTTTTCTTACTGAGCTACAACTGTTGTTTCCAGAACTACTACTACTGCTGCTGCTTTCACATCTACTATTACATGATATCATTACACTGTATGTTAATATATTTAAACAAAACCACACATTATATCTGGCTAATCTAGAGTTACTCAGTTAAGTTGTTGTGGTATTGAGACGGTTACCTGTGGGATTTAAGAGATTTAAGAGTCAATTTTCCATTAAATTGTTCAACAGAAAGTGAAATTCTCTGTTGAACAATGAGGAAAATTTGGACTGACAATTTTTTTTTTAATTGATGTGTTTAAGCTTATTTACTGTGGCTCAAGTTAGCAGAGATAACAAGATGTCTCTGGGCAGTATGGATCTTTAATTAGTATTCATTCTGACTTCTCCAGTTCTCTAATAACTACACTGTACATGTCTGAAAATCTGATTGTAAAAATCTTTTTCTTTTCATTTATTCACTGTGTGTAGTTTTGTTTTGTCTTGTGAGGCCACTGCTCCTAATACTACGAGTATAACTACTACTATTATTACTGCTATACTGCCAAGACTCATACTTCTACCTCGAGCACTATTACTGCTGCTATTAAAACTATTTTTACTGCTTTCACTGCTATTGTTACACATGCTACTTCCAATACTTCTACTATTATTACTAGTGCCACTGCCAAGACTGATATTTCTACTATTACTATTATTTCTGCCAATAGTACTACTATCACCCTACTGCTTTTACTACCACTACTACTGCCAATACTTCTACTATTCCAGCTGCTACTGCCACCACAAATATATGACTCTACTCCCACTGTCTGTACTGCTGCTATGATACTGTGGCTGCGACGGCATCAGTGCTACAGAAGCCACTACTTCGACTGTGTAGCTGTATTTCTACTACACAGTCTGTACTGAAACACAAATATTACCACGACTCTTCCTGCTGCTCCTGAGACTTTGAACAGTTTGTTTTCTCTCAGTCTTTCTTTGCTTTTGTTTGTTTGACTTCACACTGATATTTGTTTGATTTACATTGTATTTTTACCCTTTTACTTTTGTTATTTTTCAGAATAATGACAAGAAGAAGAAGATGACGCAGGAGGAAGTGGAGACCGCTGTCGATGTGAAGCCAACAAATCTGCATGTGCATACAGTGATAGTGTACGCATGGGTGACAGAGAGCAAACATAAAGTGTCTCACTGAGGTTTCTGCCTACAGGCTTCAATGCAACTCCCAATAAACTCTCCAAGTCTTTGAGACAACAGGGGGGGGGGGTGAACACTGTTGGTCCAAAGCACATTCTCCAATCTGGTAGTGCTGATGATGATGATGATGATGCTGATGATGATGATGATGATGATGATGATGATGATGATGATGATGATGATGATGATGGGAGCACTGTCACTCCTATAAAGGGTTGCATTGAGGGTTAAGATGTGGTGATTACAAAGGCCGCAGCAGATGATTCACCACATTTTCACCTTTAATTTGTCGCCTCGTCCTTGATACCGTACGTATCTTAATCCATCGGGATGTCCGGTTAATTACAAGGATGGAGAGTAAAGCACAGCTCTCAGCTTTGTAATGACCGGATGATAAATGTTTTTCTTCACACGTGCACACGAGGCTTTTACAGCAGGTGAACTGTGTTGTTACGTTTCTCCTGCAGTGTTTTGTCCCTGGTGATTTATTCTGTTGTGAACGTACACATCCGGCAGCGAGCGCGTGGCAACACATATCTTAATAGACATCTTTGTATCTTATTTTTACAGTCCCACATGATGACACTAAATTTAATGAGTTTCCACAAACAGCTCATAGTTGACACAGTCCAAATTGTTTCCTTATCTTTGCTGTTTCATTTTGCACAAAGCTACTTTTGCTTCTTTCACTTTCAGAGGCCGAAATAATTATTTGAAAATCTACCGATACAGAGCAGAAGAGCAAATCTAGTTTCATTATTTCTGAGGGGAAAAAAATTCTCTCTAAGGAATTAACAGGTGACAGAGCTCAGACTGTCAGCTTTAGGAGGGCCGTCCAATCATGGAGTGAACTCAGCAAATCAAAGCAGGACCCTGAGAGCCGGGTCAAAGTCTGCCTGCGAATAATTCTCAGATATGAGATTAAGAGGGCCACATGAAGCTTTATGAAGTCTGGACAGTCAGACAGACCAGCAGAGACAGATATGAAACTGAGGTCAAGATGTCACATGACATCTGGGGCGGTTGTGGCTCAGGGGGCTTGAGCTAATCAGAAGGTCGTGGTTCGATCCGCATGTGGAAGTGTCCTTGGGCAAGAGCCTGAACCCCAAACTGCCCCTGACGTCTGTCCAGTATGGATGTGATGTAGTAAGTCCATTTACCATTCATCTGTCAAGCCTGAAATATCACTGACAAACTCCTCATGCTCCCTTAAGTATGATCAGATGTCGCTTTCTGCTCCATTACGATGGCACTACTTTTTGTTCATTCTTGGCCTCTATTTTTTTTGTATAAAAATCCCCTTGAGTTTTATAGAAAGTTGCCTCTTTGTTTTTCAATAAACTAAAGTTAAGACACACTGTTGGCCTTATGCTCTAAATACATTTCATACTGGAGCCTTTCCACAACCAGCAGTGCATTAGTCCGTCTCCCAGTATCTCCCCACGTCCCCTCTCTCGGCCCCAAGCTCATTATTTCTTACTGAAGACGTAAATCTTTCACAATGGGTCACAAATACAGACTTTGATTTTTTTTTAGGATAGCCTCCTTTAACAGCTGGGCGCTGTAGCTTTTAGCAAACGTTACTCAAACAGGAGTAATTAGTGGATTTTCTCAGCTGCAGATTACCACACATTTGTTGCTGTGCAGTGGGGTTTTTTTTTTTTTTTTTTACAACAGCAGAGCGGTGTGTTTGGGATTGAATCCACATCCAACAATGAAATTAAACTCTCGAAATGAATCGAAAACATTTCCCATCTTCCTTTCCTTTATCGCAGACTGCTGCAGACACATAAAGCAGATGTATCTCATCACTGTCACCATGAGACAAATCCTCTGTCCATTCCCAACTTGAATCTAAACAGCTGAGAGCTGAGTCGCCTTTTTTTTTTTTATTATTCCCCCCAGAGTCTCCAGGAGTCAGATGTAAAGAGTCATTCCTGTCACATTTCACAGTGAAACGTCAGACTGTGTCCTGAGTTGCTGTTATACAGTTGAGGGTGTGATAGCAGCTGAAGAGAGGGTCCTGCCCCCCCCCGCAGAGGAGACACCAGGCCGCCGCAGTGAATGTAAACCACTTCACAGAACATGAATATTACAATGGCTCTCGTCGCTGTAGCCTGGAAACAACAGCGGAGCCACCTTCACTGCTCTCTAACAGCCGTCCCTGTTGAGTGTTGCCCGGCAAAACTGGAGGACAGGCCCGGTGCATTAGCCCCCCCCCCCCATCACCATCACCATCACCACCCCACCTCCTCCTCCCCCTGGCTAACGGTCCTCATCTGGAACAACAGTGTCTGACTTCCATAATGGAGAAAAGCGCTGTGTGTGGTGACCTCTGCCTGGCACATTATCTAACTCTTAATTGAAAGGCTGAATTTAAACTTTTTGGTTTTTTATTTTTTTGTTTTTTTTTAATAGGGCCACGCGCCTTAGAATTAATTCAATTAACTCCACATCAATTCAGCAAAAGCTCCATTCAGCGTGATGGTGATTAAAACATTGCAGAAAGGGACGTGGTTTGATTGCGGAGCGTAAACAAAGAGGGAACTCAGTTCATCCCTTCACAGCGTGGAACAAAACTATGCGACGCGAATGCATCATCGCGAGAAGCGACGACCAGATGTAATTAACGTTTCCTCTTAGAGAGAAAAATCCTATAGAACAAATGCACGAATGAGAAGTGGATGTGTTTGTGGCAACAGGCTTTTAAGTTTTTCCATAATGACAGTTCACTCATCTGTTTGCGTTTACTATCACTAGTAGTAAAGAGGTGCTTCACAAATGGGGAATAAACATTAGCTGTGGAGTGGATCAGTAGAAGTGACGTCACGTTTAGGTCCTGCCTGCGGCTGAACTCAGAGGAGCTGTCCTTTCAGCACCACAACACAACACAACACAACACTGCCGCTGCTGCTGCTGCTGCTGCCGCTGCTCCCGCACGGCTACACACAACACTCTGCGTGTCTGGCTCCCTCGGCTCGCTGCACCGTGTCAGACCTTCCAGCTGCATCCCGGTGACGCACCGTCAAAAAAAAAAAAAAAAAACGCCACAAGTTGAATCACACACGGTGGAAGCTGCACCACAGGAAGCGATGTGTGCTCTGATGTCGTCTGGGTAGCACCCGGGCGCGCCACGCTATTATACGTCACTCTTCCGTTTCACAGTGGTGCTTGTCAGAAGTATATAAATCCAGATGTGGTCGTGTTTTGACACAAAGATCAGTCCTCGTAGTTAAACACCCCCCGCCCTCCTCTCCCCAGAGAGAGAGACACACATACACACACACACACACACACACAGATGAGAGAGAGAGAGAGAGAGAGAGAGAGAGAGAGAGAGAGAGAGAGAGAGAGAGAGAGAGAGAGAGAGCTGCAACATGTTGCTTAAAAACTTTAAAGACTTGTGGCTCAGTGTGACTGTTGGTGATCAGGTCGGCGGCTCTGAATATGAACATGTGCTCCCGCGCACCTGCTGCCCACAGACCGCTTCACTGCCTTCAACATGTAACTGTGCTCATAATAAACCCTGTCCTGTTGCGCAACAGTGAAGAGACCCCGAGAGGCACCTGTAATGATTATGGAGGCTCCAGTGTTAGAGACTGGGACTCGTTAATGGAGACTGACACTTACCTATGGTGGTTATAACCGTGATGGCAAAGTAAAATGACCCTGCAAATTTCCACTGCACCCCGGCTCTGTGGGGCTCTGCCTCCATGATGATGGTCTCCAGTTTGCGGTAATCATCCTCGCTGATGTTATATTTCCCCTGGAGACGCTTCTCCTCCGCTTCCAGCTGCTCCTTTTCCCGCATCTCGAAGTCGGACTCCAGGGCGTCAAAGACGGCGGCCCCGACGAGCAGGTATGTAAACGTGCAAATGATCAGGGACAAGGTCCGCACGTTTTGCCGCTTCATGGCCAACAGGAACCGGCGACCGAGGGGCTCATGTCCCCTCGGATTCCCCGGGAAGGCGCAGCAAGCGTGAGGGAAGCCGTGTGGACAGCGCCTGGAGGCGGAGGCGCAGAAAGGTGCGCTCCGGTGGTGACGGTGGCCGCGGTGGACGCCGGAGACGGAGCAGCGGTGGAAGTCCCCCGCCTTGTGGTGATCCCGGTGACAGACCCCAAGATCCTGTTCCTGGTTCGCGGAGAGACACAAGAGACTGCTCGATCGCCTGGACCAGGAGCCTTGCAGCCGAGAGACCCTGCGCAAGACCTGCCCAAACCAAGTCCTCCCGGTGCGCAGTGCCATCAACAAGCTGCTCCCAAGATCGCCTGTTGGTCTCTGTTCTCCTCAAGTGAACTACTCTGATGTGAATAAACGCTCCCAGCCAAATAAACGATGCTTTCCTTTCTTCCCTTTGATGCTCCACTCTCACTTTGTCTGTGATGTGAATTACAATGTCCTAGAACTGAGCATCTTTCCACATGTCTCTAAGTTTCAGCTGAACACCAACCTGTTCATTGTAACCTCATCAGCAGTCAGGCTATTTTTAGCAGCCATTCTCCACACATAGACAAGAAGACATCAGTTTACTGTCCTTGAAATCCTCACATCTTCCCCGCGAACGGCGCTCATCATCCTCATCACAAATGTGCTGAGTCGTCGGGAAGACAGGAGAGTCTCAGAGTCACGGGGATGAAGTTAGGAACTGTAACTCACACGATGCGCAGATCATCGCACCATACAACATTCACAGGCTTATTCCCGCTTCCCAGCTGCTTTACTCCTGGATCAGATCACTTGTTAGAAGAGCAAAAACAAAAAAATATTCCAAGCACGAAACAAACCATCGACGACAACAGGTTCCATCGCGACGAAGAGTTTCCTCACATTCAAAATATATGCGTTTTTTTTTTTCCTCTTCAGATATGCAGAAGTTGGAGCCGAAGAGAAATGAGACACTTCAAGATTCATAAAAGCTCAGAGCGCGCTCCGCGTCCGCAGTGGCACTCATGCTCCGTTGCGCACATCCAAAGCGCACTCCACAGCTCCACTGTCCGCCGGTCGCTCTGAGCTGATGTGGAGAAAAAAAACAAAAAGAAAAAGAAAAGAAAAAGAAAACGATAATGCTTGTGTGTGTTTTCCCTCGTGGTGCAGGGGGCCTCTGAGTTAACCATGCGTGTCACGAACTGCTCGTATTTTGAAGGCTCCACATTTTTATGTCTCCACACACTCCAGACTCTAATCGGTGGGCGTTGCTCCTTCTGTCTCTGTGTTTTTCTCTTTTTCCAAGTGTCACGATTCATCCGAGTTCAGGCCTGAGCATCTCCACGCGCCTGCAAGCTTTTACCTCCGCGGGTGAATATCTGCTGGGGCACAAAGTGACTGCATCACCCCCACCACCCCCACCTCCTCCCCTTCCTCCTCCTCTCACCACGCGACCCCTCCCACAGTGACCACTCCTACTCACTGTATGGACACAGAGGGTTGACTTGGACTCAGATGGTCACATCAGTGTTTGTACATCCCGGCAGCAGCAGCAGCAGCAGCAGCAGCAGCAGCAGCAGCAGCAGCAGCAGCAGCAGCGGGAGATCTGCGCTCCAGTGCGGACTCGGCTGCACATGTCGCTGCGCTGTCCATGGTGCTGCGCACGGTGCAAGTCAAGTTACTGTAAACGCACTTTGCAGAATCACCAACTCACATCACATGTAACAGGAGGCAATAAAATAAAGTGGATTTATAGATAATCCAGTCTGGAAATAAAAAAAAGAAAAAAAAAAAAGACTGGAACACCAACAGTTGAAAATGAAGCTCTGATCCTGTCTGGAGCACAGTGTAATCTGGAGATAGGGACCTTAAAGTGACCCCTTCATTATGACCAAACCAGGGCCCTATCTCTTAGGGACCCTGAGTTCAAATCAAATTTAAAATATTTCAGTTCACACTGAAAAACATAAGGCAGTGCTCCTCTTCATTCAATGTCCAACACGTTTTAAACATTGTCTTTATTCTTGTGTAAGAATTTGGATTTTAGTTTTATTTCTTAGTTGGATCACATTACAAACACTGATACTGGAGTCAAACTGAAATGTATGAGTTTAGATTGCAGAATCCTAATGTAGGCCTGAAATGAAACCTCCCAGCATGCACCAGGGCAACAGACAGTAGTCTTCTATTTCTGTTGTTGTGTTTTATGCTGTACAGTAGGCTACAGTTGGTTTTATAGGCCCATATTTTACACTTTTCATCTTTTATTTGAAGTGTTGATCCATAAGAAGATATATTTGTGGTTTTTAAGAATCAAAAACCGTCTCCAAATAGTTTTACATCTCCTCTCTCAGGCTTCTCTCTGGAGCTCTAGTAACAACAGGTCCGTGAGCCAATCAGAAGAGAGGAGGCTCTGAGCCTCTCTTCTGATTGGCCGACTGTTTTCTGAGTGACAGAATAAAAATAAAGCAGATTTCCGGTAAAACACCAAATCCTGCAAGGTTTGGATGGTGGGTCCAGGTGGGTGGGGCTTGGGGCCTGGCTAAGAGCGGTGACTGCCTTGTTGTGACATCACAAAGTTACAGGAAGTCCTGGAGGCTGGTTTTAAGGCTCAGTTTCTGAATACAGGCTTCGATACTTTCACAGTATTAATATAGAACCTCAACCTGCTTTATAATCAAATAAAACATGGACATCTAGCTTTATACAATATGGGACCTTTAAATTAAATACTGTTTCATCACTGGTGATGATGTGTGACTTGGTGATGAAACTCTGCTCATGTTTTTGTCCTTTAAAGTATTTTGGGGGTTTCACTTTAAATCACACTCTTATATCATATATGTGACCAACAGGAAATGATCTACTACAGCTTACAACACGTTAAGCACTTTGCCTTGACTTGTGCTTAATTGGTGCATCTTCCTAAATAAATTAGTCTTACCTCATCAAGACAAAAAGTACAGAGAGTAAGAGAAATGGGGGACAAGCGGGTCAGTGGGGGCCTACAGCTCATCTCAGCCCTGCGGCCCCCCAGGAGGTTAATCCAGATCCTACAGAAACCCCCCCCCAGCTCTTATCATGTGTGTGGACAACAGGATAGTGTGCCAAATATGAAGAGCCTGTTCCACAACCCGTCTTAAACCTCAGAGTGCTCTTGAGCAAGGCAGTTAATCCCCTGCAGCTGCAGGACGGTTGTTATGTAACTGACACATGATCGTGACAGCTGAATTTATCTCCTGGCATCAGCAGAGGACGGTGTCACCATGAAAGCTTTTCAATAAAGATTTGAAATCACATGTCGTGTCTGACAAACCTAAAGACGATAATTAGTCATGCAGTTTATTTACCTGATCATATGTTTTAAATACATCCACTACTTGTGTTTCACCTATATAGATTTTGCTTTTACTCACCCTGGTTTCATCTGAATGATTTTGCTGCCTCTTTAGAGAACCTAAAGTTACGCTGATGAAGATCATGTGATACGACTGAAAGCTCCAGAGCTATTGCACGAGGAGAACTTCTTAACTGACCCACAATTAGAAGTTAATACTTTTCATAGTTAATGTTTTTAGATGCAAATTAACTGAAAACACGTTGATGAGTTGAGGAAATCTTCCTGCGCCTCCGTCCTTACAGATGGAAGAGCAACACACTGTGGAAGAAACAAGGGGAAATGACTGAGTAAGCCTCCAGAAAAGTCCTTATACTCATTATATAAAGTAGCAATGAAAGTGGGAATAACATCCACCCGGCAGAGTGTATATCCTGCACTTTTTATATCATTGCCTGGAACTCAGCCACCAGTCCTCCAGTCTGATGAAGGGATTTTTAAGGAAATGAGAAACAGTTGGTGATATCTCAGGTTGACATGAGAAAAAACTCATGTTATTTTCATTGGGTTATGTAAGTGAGGTTTGGTCTCTGCTAAATTACGGATAAATTATTTGCTTTTTCATTGTTGTTAAAAAAAAATAAATCTTAACAACCTTTTTTGTTTTTTGTTTTATTTCCAGAATTTATGGAATATTGGTGGACTAAAACCGACTCCTTCTCCAGAGAGAGGTGAGTGATTAAAAAAGAAAATGTGAAAGCTTTTATCAACTTCTGAATCATTAATATTGTTTTGTGTTTTGCGTGTTCATGTTTTTAAATGCACTGATGTCATTTCCTCTCCTGTCAGGCTTTTAAAGCTTCGCCACAGAGGACTTGAGAGGGATTTGGTTTTTTTTTTTTTCCTGTCTGAAATGAAACACTGCAAAACCGTCCAGAACAGACGTGAACACACAAGAAAAGAAGCTCATCACAGTGAGGAGCTGAATACCAAGACATCCACCACAGCGTTTCATAAATGCAGCCGTTTAAGAGTCTAAACAGCTCCACTAATCAACAGCGTCTGGATCTGTGGTCGCTCTATATTTAGCTCCACAGTTCTCACATCTCACGTCTCTGCTCAGCCCACCTACAAGAACTCCTGATGCATTTTCTGGAGAAGCTCAGGGAAAGAAAAGAAAAAAAAAAAAAAAGTTTAATAATGGCAACTGCTTATATTAGTCTCCATGGTAATGACAGTGAACTTACAGCATCATACGGGCCCCGCACAGACACTGACAAATCTTCTCTGAAGGCTGCATGACGGCGCCGTCTCTCTACATGCGATCTGAAGTGGCAGCAGAGGAACCAGACGTGATGAGTGAGAGAAGTTGCGGAGGATTAACTGACTGACGCCTGAGAGTTTGGATTCCCAAACTCAACAGCACTGGAACTAACTGCTTGTCTTTCGGCTGATCTGCACTGCGCGTTGTGTGGAAAGGTGTCGTAAATCATCCACACGTCAATAACGGCGACACAGACAAGGTGTTTATCACAGATTTCCTCACAACAAACAATCAATAACATCAATAGACACACAGTTTAGTAAAATTAACTTTCATTATTCCAATAAATATGACATGAACACCTTTGTAAGCTCAAATTTGAATCTGTTATTCAGACGCTTTCGTTATTGAACAATGATCAGTGTCTTCAGACGACATTATTGATTCGAAAAATGCACCTCTACATTTATTTCTACCAGCTTCCTCCTGGTCTCTGCTGCCATTGTTCTGTCATTTCTGAGGGGCCCCTGAGGATCATGTGATATGACCAAAAGCTCCAGAACATCTACTAAACGGACCTTCTGGTGAGATTCATTCAAGAATGAACTTTGACCCTCAGCTTTAAGCCAAAGTAAAATAAAGACACCAGTTTTCAGTCAGTTTCTTTGGAAAGCGGCAAAACTGTCACTAACAAAAACAGAAGCAGAACTAATGGTCCCT